TGTCATTTCAAAATATCATTCACATACATTTGTCCATGTTTTCTTAGAGTCGAGAGGAGTTTGAGACTGATCTGATCGGACGTTTTGGCTCACTTGTCAAAATACCTTTACTAAAATCCGAAAGGTCAGAATGATTTCTTCAGTACATTTTATCCATCATGATATTCACTTTAGTTATCTTCAATCTGATTGATTGATTCACTTTCTCTTGCATTAAAGACGTTTGCTATCCATCAGTTCTTGATTGTATATTTTCTTGATTTGAATGGTTTCTCAAAGGATGAGTTGTCTGTCCACTCTAGTGTATTACTAGTGAAAGTAAAGGCAACCTAAATGGCATTAGCAAGGTGAAGTCTGAACAAACCAGGGAAATGAGAGAACTTTGGTTCTCAAACATTATGTATGTATGGAATTTGGTTTTCAGGTCCCAACCAAATTCAGATTTCCAAATCTTTAATCAATCAAATTGAACAATGTTTGTGTCCCCAACTATTAACACTGCATCTTTATGTTTTTTCATCCTTCTATTCCTCTCTTGCCATGGGATGTAATTATAGTCAATAATACTGAATTTTATTTGAATTTCACATTTTCACCAAATAAGCATCTAGTTTTCTGATGCGATAAGCAGTTCTTACAACATATCCATTTCATTGATGTATGCTGAATAGGTGAAGCATCATGTGTGCTTTGGGAATATGAAGTACTGCTAGAGTCTGATAGTGATGTTAAGTTTTCATGGCTACGGAACTGAACAGAAGTTTCTCAAAAGTGAAAAGTCAATGCTTGTTAGTGATATTACCCGAAGGAGGATGTGGAATTTGGGAGTTCCAATAAAACAGCAAAATGATGCAATTGATTAAAATGATAACGTTCCTAGCTTCTTATAATTTTTGCACCTTAAAGCCCTCATTTGATATAAAGGTTTCCATTTACTTCTTGTAATATCCTAGAGTTTTGGTTGCGACAGCTCATTTCTATCATCAAATTGGTTTTTTATCTTTCAATTTGTTTTCCAAAAACATCATGCATATTTTTCTACAATACAATGTGAAGGTCTCCTTTACCGGATTCAGTGAAGTCTATTTTGGAGGAAGGAATGAAGTTGTACCATCTCCATACTAGTAGGCATCGGAGGTGAGCAAAATATTATATTCAATTCTTTGCTAGTTGATAGACTCCTCATTCATACTTTAAAATAAATAAATAAATAAAATTTCTTGCACTGTGAATTGCTTTTAGTGGTAGAAATGTTTGTAGTGTATATCTTTCCCCAAATTTTACCTGAATTGTGACTTCGTAATGTTTCTCCAAATCTTTACTCTTTGATCAATAGTTGGTACTGAAATTTTATATTCCTGCTCTGGGTTTATTCTTCTCATTTAGGTAAGTCTCAAGACACTGTCCTTTCTGAAAATAGTGATTGCTTAATTTATATATCACAATCCATTTGATGCTTTTGTGAGGCCCCTTATGCACTGATTATGTGTCATTGGGGTGCTCCATGTGCCATTTTCTGGAAGCATTTCTTATAAAATTCTGTAAATGGAAGAGTAATCTAAAGCACATTCCTTGCATAAAATTGCTTCTGATGGGATGAAGGTTATGTCATTACTTTATGCAGAGTACTTCTTTGCCTGAAATATTAACATCTTCTCTTCTTGGCTTTCATTTTGCTTTGTTATCATTTTCTTATTAGTAACTCTTAATCACTAACTACTGCATCAATGTTCTTCTATATTTCTTTAGAAATGTTGTGTTTAACACCTGTTTATTCATTCTGGAATTTGGAGGTCTCTATATCAACTTACCCTCCTCCTCCTCTTTGTACATGCACACATGTAAATAATAGAATCATTTCTTTGTTCTGGCAGATTGGAGCCAGCAAAAGGGACATTTGCAAAAGAGTGGGCTAAGTGGGAGAAAGAACTACGAGATGTGTTGTTTGCAAATGCTGACTATCTTAATTCAATACAGGTCACTGCAGATGTCATAGCATCATTACATGATTTTGCATTCTTCTATAATTTGTCAGGCATATTCCATTGGTTTTCTCTTTCATTTTCCTGAAAAGTGTATAGTTGAGATTATTAACCATGATATTTAGTTCCCGGCTGGCCGCTACACTGCTGCTGTGGCTAGATTGTCCTCCTGAGGAAAAAAAAAATATCATGTTGCATTATCCCCACCCCCCCCCCCCCCCCCCCCCTCCCCCCTTCCACATTTAGGGAAACAGTGTTGATAGAGGTGACAATTTGAATCAAACAAGAACAATTTTGCACCACTCTAAAACAAGAATATAGAGCCAAGGAAGCTCAATATGCATAAGATGATGGTGTTGAGTCTGCTCTTACCACTACCAAAGTCTTGCTGCTGTCTAGTTGGTGTCATGTAATATTGTGCTCCACACTTTTCAGGTTCCATTTGAATTTGCTGTTAAACAAGTATTGGAACAACTGAGGGCTATTGCTACGGGTGAGACACCAGCAATTGAGAAGAGGAAGCTTGGAACAATTGTGTTTGCTGCCGTCAGCTTGCCTGTTACAGAAATCCAAAGTCTTCTTGATAATGTAAGCTTGTTTTCCCCCCTCTTCACTTCTCTATCTGCATTTCTAAAACTTGGTAGAGCACTATAGATCTTAAAGACATCAACATTTTTACTGTTTGTAAAATGCCTAAATCTATTAAGAAAAATGTTGTTTTACCACCCTCCTAAAATTACTCCCTGATGTGGCAATTATTTGTATGATGTTTTAAAAGAGAAACTTTTTATATTCATTGGCTATCTGGGAGTTGGTTGATTCTATCATGAATAATCAGATAAGCATTATAATAATAATAATAATAATAATAATAATAATAATAATAATAATAATAATAATAATAATAATAATAATAACAACAACAAATCCATGCAGTAACTCTTATGTCATGGAGTAAACATTAGGATTTAATTTTATCTATTAAATCTGTTTACATGCCACTGGCAGTACTGCAGTAGTGTTGCTGTGGTGGTGTTCTTTGACCTTTTATTAGATTTTTTTTTTTTTTCTGAAGCAAAGTGGTTGTGAATGAATAGCTCAACCTACCTGACCATGAAGGCAATTGCCAATTGGCTAGAAATCACATTTTAGTCTCTTTGCATGCACAGAAACACTCAATCCATATATTTTTTTTCGATGTTTCCATCTGTTTATACATGTGTTAGCTTGTTTGGCCCAGTCAAAAGAGGTTTTTCTAAAAAGTTTTTATCTGGTACTCCTTGAATAAGAGGTGGCTTCTTGTTATCAGGCCTGAAATGCCACTTTGTGATTTTTATTGTTTGGTTGAGCTTCTTCTTTTTAGACTAGATGAGCTCCAAGATAAGTTAGGCCGACAAACACAATATTTCTGCAAATTGAATCATATCTACTAGTAGCAATACACATCACAATCCACATAGTTTGGGAGGCTAAACTTTTCATCTAACGATCTGATTATCAATTTGGACAGTTGGCTAAGAATGACTCTGAAGCCGGAGCTTTTCTTAAGGACAAAAACTTGGGAAGCCACCTTCAAAAGGCCCACGTGACGCTTGCTCATAAAGGAAGTCACAGTGTGGCAGCTCTTGCAAGTTTTGCTCCCTTTCTTCATCAACAGGTGCCTGTAGAAATGACGGCTCTATTATTCTCTGAAAGGGTGGCTGCACTTGAAGCTTGCATTGGCTCTATTAATGGTGAAAAGATTCAGTCTAAAAATGAATGGTCTCACGTGACATTATGGACCAGCAAAGGAACTGCGCCTGTAGAAGCCAATTCACTACCGCAATTACTTCAAGAAGGAAAGGCCAAGCGTGTTGAGGTTGAGCCACCCATTGCAATAACAGGAGTCATTCAATTCTATTAATTGCTGTTTTCATTCAGTTTCTTATGAAAATAATTCAATATGTGAACTGCAAAAAATGGCAATTTTGAATGCCTAGTTTGGGGGTATGAATTTTGCAAGAAATTAAAGGAGTACTTATAGGCGTTGGAATTAGGAATGCTGCATAGTCGTCAGCTCTTCAAAATTCGTTTGTATAGAACATTGTATTTACTCTTGATCGTATAGAGTAATAGAGGTTGGTTAATTGCATATTTGCAAATTATGGAGATGTTGAAGTTTTTCAGGAAATTAGATAATTCTCCAGTTACTACACGCATTTAACATTCAATACATGATTATGTGCGAAAGTAGAACATATATACAGCGAATGATTACGTGGGTATATTAAATTCGGAAGTAATATATATATATATATATATATATATATATATATATATATATATATATATAGAGGACAGGATCAGGCACAGGAATGGTTTCCCGTGCGATTGGACGCACATTAAGCATTAACTGACGCAGTTTAAGTATACATTAAGCACACAAACAAAATACCTTCAAAACACAAACTCACGGACAACTACGCCTGTTAAGTACATTGCACACACCGCATGCACCTTCAACAACTACTCACGTTAAGCACAAAACTCGAAGTATAAATCTGACACACATTAAAACTGCACAATTGCACGGGAAACATTCAATACATTGGAATTTAATTATATATATATATATATATATATATATATATATATATATATATATATATATATATATATTGAAATAAAGTATTTTGTTATTTGATTTGTTGGGGTAGAATTTAAGGGAGCTGCAACTTAAACCTCCTTGGTTTTTTTTTTTTGTTTTTTTTTTTTTATGGTTTGATAGTGTTTATACTGGTGATAGCACCTTAGGATTTGCACAACAATTAAAGCAATGTAACTAGGAAAGGGAAAAAGGGCGAAACGTAACAATAAAACTAGTGCTACAAGGAAAGGCATGAGCATAGGCAAACAACTAAAAAAGAAAGAAGTGATCATCTGTGTGTGTGTGTCTACACTAGAAAGCGCCAGCATATCTTGCAAATCATGCATGGCTTACACCTGTCATGTCTCCCCAGCTCTACATAACCTCTCCTCTGGATCACCGTTTGAAAGCAAGCAAATCTGCAGATCGAGTGCAGTGCAAAAATGGGGAAGCAGCAGATGAGTTTGTTGGTGCTGGTTTTGGTTGCTTATTGTGCAGTAGAAGGTCTGGGAAGAAGAGAGTTTGAAGGAGAAGAGAGAAGTGGGGGGCAAAAGAAGATGTTCATTTTGAATGAAGCGAAAGAGGTGGTGAGAACCGAATCTGGAGTGATCAAAGTAGTGAGAGGCAGCACTAGTACAAGTGGAAGATTGATGCATATTGGGTTCATTACTATGGAGCCTCAAAGCTTGCTCATTCCTCAGTACCTTGATTCCCATCTCGTCCTCTTCATTAACCAAGGTAGGTCGTTCTGTCTCAATAAAAAAGTTTATTATATGCTCAACATTGACATCTAGCTAGGTAACTAAATTAAAGGAGTATTAGATGGATTTTGTTGATGTTACATATATAATACAAACATACAGGGGAAGCAAGGATTGGACACGTGTACAAGGATAAATTGGCGGAAAGGAAAGTGAAATCCGGAGATATGTACACAATTGAAGCTGGGTCTGCTTTCTATGTGGAGAACACAGCAGAAGGGCAGAGACTCCATATCATTTGCAGCATTAATATTGTTGACACCTCTGACATGAGAGGGGCAGATACATATACTTTCCAGGTACCCTCCCTAGCTTTTTCCAATTACTTTTTTATTTCTCCAGTTTTGTATTTCTCTTTCTCGAGGGAGCTAGGGTTACAACTTAGCTACAAATTAATGCTCTGCTCTGCTCTGCTCTTACCGAGGGAGGGTTAGTTTATCGAAGAGTACGTACTGGATCTACTGATCGAATAAATTAAATTTCAGTCTTTCTTCATTGGTGGCGGCATGCATCCTACATCTGTTCTTGCCGGGTTTGATCCTTACACGCTATCAACCGCATTGAATGTGAGTAATCTATCTCATCTTTACAATTTTTTCATAATCTTCTTCTTGATTATTTATATATATTGCCGCTTTAGTTTGATGAGTATATATACTTATGGAGTACTATACGTTCCTGGCCTGTAACATAACATACACAACTACGTACTTACAGGTTTCAATGGTAGAGATTTCGAAACTTGTGGGCACCAAAGTGTCGGGTCCAATTGTGTCTTTAACAAACTCCAATTACACAGCCCCGATTCTAGCTCACCTTAAGAGAATTGTGCATTATTCTGATGTAGAACAGCAGCAGCAGCATTATTGGGCTCCATGGCTGTTCATGAGGAAGCTGTTGACCAATCATTATTATTATCCCTTCTTCAGCAATAATAATAATAATAATAATAATAATGGAGATGATGATGATGCTCCAGATTCTTACAATATCTTCGACAACGACAAAAAGCCCGATTTCAGTAACGAGTATGGGTGGAGCTTGGCCGTTGACGAAAACGATTATGCTCCTCTCAAAATCCCTGACGTTACTGTTTATCTGGTCAATCTCACAGCGGTACGTACGTACCTAGCTATATACGTTCTCAACATGTGCTTGATCGAATTGACTATATATAAATTAAATGTACGTAGGGATCGATGATGGCGCCGCATGTAAATCCGAGGGCAATAGAGTACGGTATAGTGGTGGAAGGAATGGGAGAAGTTGAGGTGGTGTACCCCAACGGCACGCTGGCCATGAATGCGCAGGTAAGGCAGGGAGACGTGTTTTGGGTGCCGCGCTTCTTCCCGTTCTGCCAGATAGCGTCGAGGAACGGGCCATTTGTGTTCTTCGGGTTCACGACGTCAGCCAAGGACAACCAGCCGCAGTTCTTGGTGGGCGAGGGCTCAGTGATGCAGTTGTTGAGAGGGCCGGAGTTGGCAGCCGCTCTTGGATTGAGCGAGGAGAGGGTTGAGGAGATTGTTAAGGCTCAACGTGCGAGTACCATCTTGCCGGCCGCCTATGCCGCACCACCGGAGTCGTCTATGTAGTAACTAAGCTTATATGTTGTTTCTATCCCATTTCCAACCTAACTTGTTTTTTTTTTTCTATCTTCATTCTGTATTTTCTTGGTGCATGGATCATGGATGGGAGACTGTACTGTTTTCAAGTGGTAAATTAAATGGTGTAGTGTTTTTTTATTCAAGTTTACTCAAAAACCATTCACTGCATTTTAACAACAAATTTTCTCCATTATATTATAATAATAATAATAATCCAAATTTTAAATTAATTTTATTTTTTTCTACAACTCACAACAAATGTTTTCATTTTAGTCAAAGACCCTAAAGACCAACCATCCAAACAAATATGAAGAAATCTTATCACTTGGAAGAAAGCATGAGCCTCAGGCCTGACAGCCACCAAAATTGAAAATAATCCTTATTTTAGACTCTACTATTCAAATCAAACATCGAAAATAATCCTTATTTTAGACTGTACTATTCAAATCAAACATCATCTATCAACGACAAATCCTAGCTAGTATTATATTTATATATACTGAGAAATATTATGATTCCACGTTATAAATACAATAATAATTTGTTTTCTTATTTACTTCAAATATTACTCCATACTCTTTTTTTTTTTTTTTCTATTTATAATAGTCAACATTTTTATTATTCAACGTTATTGCGAGTATCTTGATTATAAATATTTATTAGTCACCATATTGTTCTCTCTCTTAATTCCCTTATATTTGAATCTTGCGAAAGCCTCAATAGTTGTTAAATATTTGTCATCTACAATCTACATTGTCTATTTTATATATAAACAAACTCAAACAAAAAAAAAAATAAAAAAATACACACACTCTTTTTGATAGCCCAATAAATGCGTGAAAGGCATGCCCAGTAAATGTGTCTGAACTCTTCTCTTCGTTGTGCTTTATTTATTTATTTGTAGTTGCCAACGAGATCTAGATATTGCACAGCTAAGATTGTGTTCATTCATGAAATTGTAAAGATATGTGGCATTGTCACTTTTTTTTTATCCACTTGTCTTAAAAGCTTGCAAGACTTCCAAATATACTAGTATTAGGTGATTGGGCCCAAAGAGTGTTGTTGTTGTGGGAAAAACTATCGTATCCATTAGCATTGTACTTCTTGTATCTAGTGTAAAGTTTACAAATTTTAAAACATATTGAGCTTGTACAAGTATTGTGGTGGACGTTTGGCACAAATTCGATACATTTACCATTGATTTTGAGTGGTACCGAGTATAAAAAGTTTCCATGATAATTTACAATAAATTTTCTATTATTACTATATCGTTATAATAAAGGGCGATAGTGTATGTTGCGCGCATTAGCACTGTCAAGTGGTTACTACTTGAAGTTTTTATTCGTTTGATTTTTGTTTAATTTGTTTGTTTGTTTGTTTTTCTCTTTCTTTTAACATAATTCCAAAAAACTATTGATAGATAATATACCTTGTTTACCTAACATCGTGTTTGGTAATTAATCACAATGTTTGTACCGATCATATCCGACCAAAATTAGTATGATTTATCCCAGCATCAACCGACATGGGATCAGAAAGGATATAATTATGATCGGGAAAAGTGAATTAGACATCTAACAACCTTGCAATAACTTTAATTCGATCATAATGTCATGCATGCGCACTGTCGGCCCCAGAGGCACGTGTTTCCCTGCACCCGCTGGGGGTGCTTTAGAGTGACTACCAGCTCGCGACCACTATGAAGAAGAAACGGTGCTTTGTTTTTTTTTGTTTTTTTTTTTTGTTTTTTGTTTTTTTTTTTAGTTTGTCCTATTTCTTTTCTGTTTTTTCCTTTTGATTTTCTCCTTTTTTTTTTCTCTCTCTCTTAAGTGGCACCTAAAAACCACAAAAAATCCAAGATGATGTGGTTGCTCTTAGAGCATGCCAACAAAGCCTTTTTAATGAATTTTAGATGAGTTAGAAGAAAGAGATAAAAGGAGAGAGAGAAAAAATGTTAATTTTTAGCCATTTCTTGTTGATAGTTTGTTTTTTTTTTTTTTTTTTTTTTTTTTTTTTTACTTATATACAAAATAGATCATATGAAAAATAAAAGATGATATGGATGATAATATTTAGCTACCATGGGGTATGCTGTATGCCTTCACAACATTGTCTTTTATAATATATACTTAGTCTTTTCTATGCGCGATGCGCAAAAACATATGCCCAATATTTATATCTTTTAAAATAATTAACAAATTCCTACTAATTAAAAGATATATGAAATCAAATTTATTTATTATAATAATTCAATATATAATGTCTAAAGAATAGTATTATTATTGAAAAAAAATATAAGAAAATATATGGTGGATGCATGTGCATGGTAACAATAATGGAAAAGATAACGGAAGTTATAACGGTAGGGGTATTTTTGTCCAAAAATTTATATAGTACAACTCTAAAAGCATAATGTACAAAATGATTAGTATTAAAAACATGGACATCAATGAGTGATATAACTTTGATTGAGACTTATTATCTTTTTAGAATAGATTAGATATATATAATAAAGTCATGAGAAATTATCTTAATATATTGAGTTAATGCAGACAAGTGATTATTTAATATCATCTTAATTAAAATTTTAATGTTTATATTATTGTTTATAGGGAAAATGACGCTTTTCCCCCTGAGTTGTTTGCTTATAGCACATTCTCTTCTTGTGTTTTTAAAGTGGCTATTTCTTCCTCTCTCAGTTAAATAAATGTTTGAACTGTTAAAAATAACGGTAAACATGACATTTCATATTTTTTTTTTTAATGGAGATTGAGGGCTTAGTTCACGGCAATAACTTTAGCTCGACGTTCACGCTCGGCATTTCAAGAATCAAGTCTCTGACTCACTTTGACGCTTTCATCAACAACTTCACTAGCTCTTTGCCGGGTGACGTCGTCCACCCGCCGAACCTCGGCAATAATCAACAAAACCAAGGAGACCCTTCAGAATTTATGCTTGGAATTAGCAACTATGGGTGATCTAAAACTTGTTGAACGACCTCAGAATTATACACTGGCTCCTGAGTCAAGCGAGCACGTCAAAATTCAACCAATACGAGCTCTAGAAGAGTCACAAAATTATTGTGCAGAATATTCACTCTAGTGACAATTCAGAAGATTTGACTAATCCATTTCTATAACTTTGGATATATATTTTATGTGTGGATTTGAAGATTGTCTTCTTGAGGGGAAGTATAATTTTACAATCCTGAAGATTGGGTTTTGACGACTAACAGCTGTACTTTTTTCCTTTGTGTTTTTCCCCACGAAGTTTTTTCCTTAAATCTAAGATTTTTAACGAGGCAGTTAATCTAAAGAATACACATACATCATGCACTCTTTTCCTCAACTAATTTTCCCACTGGGTTTTTATAGTGAGGTTTTTAACGAGGCATGAGTATGATATAGTAATGTAAATGGGGAGAAGTAAACAAACCCCGAAATCCTAAAGATTATGTCGATTATGCCCTGAAGGCTTATGGTTGTACTCTTTTTCCCTTAACTAAGTTTTTCCCACATGGTTTTCTTAAGTTAAGATTTTTAATGAGGCGACCAATACAATATATGGTTTACATATATGATGTACTCTTTTTTTCAACTAGGTTTTTCCCACGCAGTTTTCCTAGTGAAGTTTTTAATGAGACATGAATATATCTTCTATTGTACTCTTTTCTTGTCCAGGTTTTTCCCACAGGGTTTTCCTAGCAAGTTTTTAACGAGGCATGATTATGGCAAAATAATGTCCAAGGGGGAGTGTTGTAAAACCTTATATGGACATTATTCTATTGATGATAGGATTCTTAATACTGTAGGAGTCCTAATTCTGTAAGAGTCCTGAAGGCTATTATGATAGAGATATTATATATACCATTGTAATGTTGTACAGAGTTCCTTCTCTGGATGATAATAAGAATTACTTTTCTTTGTTCTTTATTCTTCTTCTTGATATTATTACTCTTTATTACTGTTCTCCACGAGCTAAAGGCGATAAACCTGCAATCCAACAAATAATACCTCTATATGAATTTCGAGTCATGTGATTCTCAAATACATTCTTAATTAACTTTGTGTAGACTTTGTTGAGTGCATATAGACTATTAACAATAATTAATTTTTAATTGTTGACAGATTTTGTATTCGCTTCTGAAATTTAATGTGGTGTTAATTATTTGAATTAATGTATGAATTTATATGTTGTAATTCAAAAATTATTTAATTTTATTTTGATTTAAGATCAAATTTTAAAATTATAATTACAATTTTGAATTATAATTATAAGAAATTGAATACAGTAATACTCCATAGATGATGTGGATGAGTGTATGGCCCACAAAATAGGAAGAAAAATGGAGAGAGAACAATGGTATTATAGGGTGATGTGAAAGAGATGTGTCCATAAGATATGAAAATAAAAGTGATAGGGTTGTGGATGCTCTTAAGATGAGTACAAAATAGACACAATTGGACTTCAAATATACTATTCAGATTTTTTTCTTTTATATATATAGAAATTATATTATTAGATTTTCATATAGGTATAGAATAATTAACTTTTTTTAATGAAGGGTTGAATTATTTGGGTTAATATTGGTTATAGAATTTTGTAAAATATAAAGAAAAAATGTCAAATAAATTATTACCCTTTTCATGTTTGGCAATTAAGTTACTAAACTTATAATGTAAGCAATTAAATCAAAAGTAAAATATGTGCAATTGAAATAATTTTTTAATTTTCTCTTAGCTACATTACTTGCATGGTATGCTTTAAGAGTTTATATTCATTCTATCGTGCTAATTATAATAAAAATTGAAATATTTTCAACTCAAATTACACCAAAATAAATATTAAAAAAAAACATTACATATGCGCACATTTTTTTTGTTTAATTGTTCAATTGCACATATTTTAAATTCAATGACTTAATAGCACAAAATTTATTAGTCATGTAGTCTACTTGACACTTTTTTTTAAAAAAAAAAAGAAGCACAAATATATAAATAGTTAGGAGATGGTGAGGTAATGACAAATGTTACATATCTCAAATAGTTTTAAATGATGCATTGAGTAAGTGATTCCAACTTGTCAAAAAAAAAAAAAAAAAAAAAAAAAAAAAAGCACAAATATATAAATAGTTAGGGGATGGTGAGGTAATGACAAATGTTACAATGTTACATATCTCAAATAGTTTTAAATGGTGCATTGAGTAAGTGATTCCAACTTATAAGCAAGACGGTAACCCGTAACTCTCTATAATGCATTTTTCATTGATTTAAATGAAAACCTACAATCGCTATCCAAAAGTGTATTATGGGTGAAGGTCGCATTGTACTTTAGCTTGCAAATGATCACAAGAAAGTAAATAAACTTAAGTTACTTATAATTGACTGACTCATAACGAGAAGGCCAATATACATTTTTTTTTTACAATAAGTCAAACCTTTAAGTATATGTTTGATACATTTTTTCTATAAAGGGGAAATCGCACTTTTGGTCCCTCAATTATTAACAGATATGCAATGTAGTCCCTTGTTTTTAATTTGAACAAATTCGATCTTCAATCTTTCTAACTTTAGCCAATTTAGTCTTTTTGTGATATTTCTCATTAACAACCATTTAAGGCATGCGCATTTTGAGAATTTCACACCCTACTTAATATTTTCCCCAATTCATTCCCTCCTCTACCAATGCCCAGCCTCGCCTCCGTCGAAATTTCACCATTAATTTTACCATGTTGGATTAATGTTGTAGCTAGTACAGTTAAGTTCTTAGCTAAGGTGCCTAGCTAGGGTAAGGTAGAAGCTGCAGCTCAATAAAGTACTAAAGTAGAAAGTAGAAATCAGAAACCCCTCCTGGCGACGTTGTTAGGTACATTTGCATATGTTATATAGAATAGAAATTCAACGATCACAATAGAAATTAATTGGAATCTTCAACACAACAACAACATTGAATCAAATTAAAATCCAACTTCTAGAGATTTTCAAACTGGCTCATTAAATCAAGGTAGGCATGTTGTGAAAATTACAAAAATATTGTGGAGAAATTTGGCAAAAAAGGAGGAGAAAGTTACCTTAACTAGGAAATTTGTGAATGAGATACCTCATTTGGATGTGACTAGGGCGAAATCTCATAAGGATTTCCCTATCACTGGCTCGGCACACATCGGATCAGTCAATACAATGCAAGTTCTGATTCGATTCTCACTGGAAGATAATTGCAAGAAGATTTTAGCAAGAGGTTAGGCGCTAATCAAGAACAAGCCAGTTCGGTTCTCGCGGTGGTCGCCAAAGTGGAATGCAAGAAAATACCTACCTTCAATTCATAATTCAACGCCGCAATGGTAAATGGAAACCCTTGTTCAGATTGCTAAACAATTTATCATCATAGATCGGGAACCGAAGAGGGCAGTTTCAGCGACCAATGGTGTCAGTGTAGTCGGTCCTCCCAGAGGTGACGCACGCAGCGCACGATGGAAGCAAGGCTGAGCAATGCGGCGGAGGTGAGGCTAAACATTGTGATTGCTTGTGAAATTCTTACCTATTGCTTTTACAATTGTAGACGATTTGGAGATTAGGGGATTCTGATTGCTTGTGAGTTGACTTATATATGGAATTTATAGATAGAAATAAGGAAAAAAATATCATTTTGGTCCCCTCAATTATTTTTCAACTGTCAATGTAGCCCATAGTTTTCATTTTCAACTAATTTGATCATCGAGTTGTTTAAAATTTTGTAAATTAAACCATTCTGAGGGACCAAAATGGTAATTTCTCTATTTTTAAAATTTCGTCAATTTGATCCTCGAAGGATTTAATTGATGAAATTTTAAACAATTCAAGGATCAAATTAGTTGAAATTGAAAACTAGTGACTATATTGACAGTTAAGAAACAATTTAAAGACCAAATGGTGATTTCTCCTAGAAATAATGAAATGAAAGCCAAAATTACATGTTAACCCAACAAGATTAAATTAATGGTGAAATTCTGGCGAAGGTGAGGCTGAGCATTGGTAAAAGAAGGAAGGAAGTAGGGAAAATATTAAGTGGGGTGTGAAATTCTAAAAATACACGTCTTAAACGGTTGTAAATGAGAAATGTCATAGACGGACTAAATTGGCTAAAGTTAGAAAGATTAAAGAATCGAATTTGTTCAAATTGAAAATCAGGGACTACATTGAATATATGCTAATAATTGAGCGACCTGCATATCTGCTAATAATTGAGCGACCTGCATATCCGCTAATAATTGAGCGAGTGCGATTTCCCCTTCTATGAATTATATTGAAATTTTTAACACCTACAAAATACAAATGAATTTTATACAACAAGGTGATAAGGAACTATTAAGGTTAATGTAATTTCAACAAGAGTTTTTTTTAGTTTTATTTTTTATTTTTTATTTTTTGTCTCAAGGAGGATTGATTTTTTTATTTAATAATTTCAATTAATAGTATATAAACAAGGGAAAATGACGCTTTTTCCCGCTGAGTTGTTTGCTTATAGCATATTTTTCCCCTGTGTTATTTATGTAATCACTTTGTCCCCCTCAATTATTTTTAAAGTGGCTATTTCTTTCCCTCTCCGTTAAATAAATGTTTGAACGGTTAAAAATTAGGGTAAAAATGACATTTCACTTTTAAGTTTCTAATCCTGCATAAAGCTGTACAGACGGACAGAGATTTCGGCAAAGCTCCGATAGATGAAGTCGTTGCTGAACAAGATTAGCTTCTCCAGCTTGTTGCCAAGCCAAAGATTGGCCGGAATTGGACCGGAGAGAGAATTGGTAGAGTCATTGAGAATCTGTAACTTGGCATTTGAGCCGAGTTTCTGCGGTAAACCCAGATAGATTGTTAGTCCACAGGTTCAAGATTTCAAGTTTTGGAAGATCTCCGATGCCTTGTGGAATTTGACCTGTCAAGTTGTTGTTCATCAAAGAGAGGTCGGGATTGCTCCTGAGAGGAAATTATCAAATGATAGAAATGGGATTGCACCGGCGAAGAGGGCTTGAGAGGTTTGCTGATTGGATATCGCAAGACTAGATCAATTGCCTCCTTTTTCTGCTTGAGAGTGATCTTGTCCCCTAAGCTTAGAGCAATTCCTTGAGTTTTGCTCCTAATCCTTATATAGCCGCTAAGCTTCCCATCTGCTTGTTTCTCAATGCTCACACTAACCAAAGCATCCTCTCCAAAGACACTCTTTGCGTACAAGTTTGCAGCAAGAAACCCACATTCACCTTCTAGAGCAGACGGAGCAGTCAAGCATTTCATATTGGTTGATTTGATAATATGGTCCAGAAACTCTTTCTCATTTTGAATAACAGTATGTACAGCGACCTTGTTTTCCCACTCAAATTCTGCCCACATAGTTCTAAACACAGTATCACTGCACACAATATGAATGTCATTTAGCACGGCAATAGTCGGTTCATGCACCTTTGAGGTCTCATACACAATATTGCCAAAAGTGACTCCAGTCTCTATTGAGGAGACCTTAATATATATGCTTTGTCAAATATTCTTTAACATACTCATATATCATTTGTGCAATTCAGGTGTTATTGTCCTTATTTGGGACATTGGGGGTAATTCATTGTTTAACCAGTTTGGAGTTTTGGCATCACGGGGATCAAACATATATAATAGCCAATACCCAAACAGCCTATCAAAACCATACATTTGTTTCTCATATAAATACCAAACTCTCGAAGAATATATTAAACATTATTCCAATATTTCATTGTAGAAGGAGCCCTAGATGTTACTAGCAATTTTATCGCGAATATCATGCATGTTGCGATTATGGAACTTCTGGTTCTAAAAAGGTGCTCCAACGACAAATGATTTAAAGGACTGTTAAGGTATCCTTACTTAGTCTAAACGGTTCCTTATCTACTTCAAGAGATTATTAGGCAACCTATAGTTTGACGAAACCATGATACTTAACCATATAGATAGGTGAAAAATAGGCAAACTGGTCTATTAAATTCATTCAATGAAAAACTCGATCTTCAAGTCGAGATAATACCTAGCTTTCCCAAACTTTTTTCAAAATCTCCGCCTTTAGACATGAACTGATATCATCAAGCTCTTTAGATATCTCATTGATGTTTACACTATCAATATTGACTGAGATAATAACTAATAAATAAGTTCATTATCAACCCTTTATCGAGCACACAATGGTACATATTATTCCTTCTTAATGAGGATAATAACTCCATTCGCAACCCTTTAAAGAGTACATAATGGCACATAAATTCTCATTTCGGGAATTATAAATCCATCGGGGATTTCTCAAAATAAATATGAATTGCATGTCTAAATTTATTATTCTGTCAATAATATTATGTAGCGGAACTTAATGCCATTTACCGTGAGAGTATATTTGATTAAAATCAATCCAGGGTCTCTGCGTGAACCCATAGGCTACAAACTCGCGTCATACTCTATCACCTCGTTATTCTTGTTTTCTTTCCACACCATTTGTAACCTATAGGGTTAATACCTCAATGGTGTACGAAAGGAATATATTAGCTAGTTAGCTGTATATGCCTTTAATGCTTTCTTTATACGTTAATCAATCTAGGCGCTTCTGGCACCTAGCTCTGGATCCAGATTGTCATATAATATGAGCAATTTGAAAGCAATTGTGTTGTCGACAACTTATAACATTTCTCAAGAATTTCTCCCATATTTATAATTGTTCATGACAATATTTGAGTCAACCAGATTCTAGAAATTTCCTAGAACTATTCAAATCACATCTGGTTGTCCCGCATCCCTAGTATTATGTTTGTTTGGTGCACCTATGATTTGACTAGGGTTTCTCATCATCTGGACGAGCGTCTTCAGGACTAAATTATTCAAACTTTTTCAAGAGTGACAATGTTTATTTACTAGATCTAGTATTATGATTCTTATCTCTTTTCATAGATAGATCTCCTACACTTCTGGCGTCAAGGAGTATCGGTAGATATATTTGTTCCAAATTGGGAAAAATATATGGGACCTAGTCACTCTTTTATGATCACTATGATCAATGAATATGTTTGGCAGATTATTTGCTAATATCGCAATTAGATTATTTTCTGAACTTCCAGTTCAGTCTAACTAGTACGTGGAATTTTAATAATGAAGATGTTTTCATTCTATAAAATTTCTTGGCATTCCATTAAAAGTTAATCTATTATCTCCCCCGAATGCCGAGAAACAATCTTCATTACGTATGTAGTCAGCGTATCTATTGATCCCCTATAATGGGCTCTAGGTATTTAAACAGCAGACGGAGGTTTATAGCCCATAGAGATACGCGTGAGGTGGTGATACAATAAAATGGACTACATACTAAGACTAGAAACGCAGATCGGAAAATGTTTAATTCTACCACGTATTATGTGTATGGGGGTTTATTCATGGTATGCAGTTGGCCGGAGTTGTTTCAAATCAGCAGCATGCAATACTGCATGTCCCCAACAAGAGACTGGTAGACTGGACCGTTGCAGTAATGGTCTAGCTATTAGCTCAATTCTTTTGATAAGGGATTCAGCTAGACCACTCTGGGTATGGACGTATGGTATAGGATGTTCCACCTTAATCCCCATGGCCATAAAATAATCGTCAAAAGTTGACGAGGTGAATTCACCAGTTGTATCCATTCTTATATTCATAATAGGATAATCGGGGAATTGAGCATTCAATCTAATGAGTTGACTTATGAACTTTGTGAATGCCTTATTTCATGTGGACAGTAGGCACACATGTGTTCATCGGGTGGAAGCATCAATAAGGACCATGAAATATCATAATGGTCCGGATGAAGGATGAATTGGTCCACAAATATCATCCCGTAACTTCTGCAGGAAGACAGGTAACTCAAAATCAATCTTAGGATGTGAGGGCCTTAGAATAAGTTTTCCCTTTGCATAGGGAACACATGTGAAATCTTTTTGTAGAAAGAGTGTTTGTCCTAAGAAGGTTGTGTCCAGTCGAGTTTGAAAGTATCCGGCTTATCATAGTTTGCCCTTGGTGACCTAAGCGGTCATGCCATAAACCAAAAGAATGTGTATCTTTAAATTTCACCGCAAGTGCAACGCAGGAAATTTGGGGCCTGATATAAAGATAATACAAGCCTAAAAAAAAGTAAGGAAGTTCTTTGATTTCCATTTTCTGGTTATTTACCATTTTTGTCGAGACTGTAACACCCCACTTTTCTTAAACTTAATTAACAAACTAAACCTTTAAAGATAAATTAAAGCAGCGGATATAAACAACTAAATAAATATAAAGAGGTGTCACCGCCCACGGTGACTGCGCATGCTATAAAAGGAATCTAAAAGAGTCAAACTTAAAGTACTACAACCAAAATTGGGGAAACAAAGCCCCGGTGTTCAACACCATCAAAAGATAAGGTAGTCAACTACACATCCAAAATAACATGAGAGTTTAGACTACAAAGCCATGTAAGCTAAACTAGTCTAACTCGTGCTCTCTTTCTTACGAACTGGGCCCACCTAAAAGGGGTTAACAAACAACAAGTAGCAAACAAAACCCGTTAGCACGAAGCTAAGTATAATACCACCCAACCCTGTAAAGTAAATACAGTATATACTTTGGAAAACAAAGTTCCACATTCTTTGCTCAAACAGGCCTATACACTTAGACATACTTGGCATCAACTTCTAGATGCTTGCAACCTAATACTCATATAGGCATACTTATTCAATAAACAATTTATCACAATCTCGTCTCATGAACAAACTAAGCTTCTCAATTACTCAATAAACACATGCTTTCTCATATAACTCAAATAAGCATTCATATGATATCATATTCTTATCATGCATTCTCTTGCAAGACATATAACTCACTACAAGCTCATACTATCAATCATGCAATCTAGTGCAAGGCGTATAACTCATAAGCAACTCATGCAATCTAGTGCAAGATATATGTGAGCAATCTCGTGCTACTAGTCATGCAATCTCGTGCAAAACATATACATAAGCAATCTCGTGCTACTACTCATGCAATCTCGTGCAAAACATATATATAAGCAATCTCGTGCTACTACTCATCCAATCTTGTGCAAAACATATATATAAGCAATATTGTGCTACTACTAATGCAATCTCGTGTAGGGCATATATCTCTTAAGCAAATTCATGCTATCAAAGAACTCATAAGCAATCTCATGCTACTAATCATGCAATCTCGTGCAAGATATATAATAAGTATAGATATATATACATATACGCTCTTTTGTAAAAAGAATACTTTTTCTGTGGAGGTTTCTTAGAGCCAAAAATGACTCGCTATGCTCTTCTTTTCTTAGAGTCACAAAGACTCGCTTTCTTAGAGTCGTGTTGACTCATTTTCTTAGAGTCTCAATAACTCGCTTTCTTAGAGTCGAGATGACTCGCTTTCTCCTTACTCGTGGGCGAGACCGGGCTTCACCATAATGTGAATAGACCTATTGGGCGCGGCATCTAGCTGGCCAATCTCTCATCCCGCCCACAGAACCAATCTCGTGGTTCCAAAACTCAAACTCTATGGAATCAGGTATCGAACTATTAGTATGCACACCCCCTGACCAGGATTCCAAGCCTGGCGAGCAGTTTCCAACCTCGTAATGTGGGAATACGCTGCGCTACATGATATCGGATTGAAATGCCCATTGCTTTCTCTTTTACTCTGAAAAGACATAGTCCAAACGGGTCTTCCAAAACAAGGTTTTCCTCACAATAGATATATACACTACTACACAGCAGGCCTTTAACGTCGGCTAAAAAGCGTCATTGTTCTGGGCGACATTGTATAGTAAACATACAACGTCGGCTAAATGAAAACCGACGTTGTATATATTTTTTTTATTTAATAATAACCGACGTCTATACTTATTTTTTAAAAAGAAAAAAATATACAACGTCGGCTATTACGTAATAGCCGACGTTGTATATTTTATTTTTTAAAAAAAATAAGTATAGACGTCGGTTATTACTAAATAACCAACGTCTTAAGTCATATTAAAAAAAATAAAAAAAAATACAAATTGGATTTGTATAAAAGATTTGTATTTCAACTCTGAAATTTCAATTAATCCTATGAGAAATAAAAATATTTAAAATACTTAGTGCAAAAGAAATAGCTTATACATAAACTCCTACTAATGTCAAAATCCATGTGCAAGCAAATCTTTGATTATCTGTAAGCAAATCCATGTGCAAGCAAATCTGCCACTATCAGTCCGGTTGCAAAGACCCATTGTCATGAATGCTGCTTAACCAGATTTAAGTTACACTAAGTGACTAAACTACAAATTTTTTCATTATAAAACACAATTTTTAATATCCAAGCAATATTTAATAAAACTGAAAGTTCAAATTTCAATAGCCACCTCTTATATAAGGAAAAGCTCCAGGCCTAACCTCAATACTCTCAGATGTTGTGAACCTGGACGATATTCTCTCCCGATCTATAGCTCTTTGTAGCTGCTTCTGGACAAGTTCTACACTTCCACCCAGCAAGATGCATTTACATGCAAGTGTAAAACATAAAGCACTAATCAAGTTTCTTGACAAACTAAGTAGAAAACAGTAACACTAACTAAAAACATTTTGATAATATATTCTTCAAATTATCGGTTTCTTGATGAACCCACGTTGTAAGGAACTATAGACCATGAAGAGTTGGAGAAACTTACAGTGACACCCGCGCATATAACAAGATTGTGTGGAATACTATTCACGTCAACAGTATAGAACCGCATACTGCAACAACATATTGAAACCACAGTGGACATTCCACTATAGTCAAGGAACAAAAAGTGGGATAAACATTATCCGAAATTATCACAAAAGAATATGGGTAAAATCTTCTCTACAAGTAAAATTAGGAGCCACCCATTAATAAACAGTAGCTGTCTTGATTTTGGAGAGTTTCAAGGCCATGAAGTCCTGAAGTTAGATTTTCAGGGAAAAAACAGAAATACACACTTTGCATCTAAATTTTGGAATCGATGTTTAGGGATAATGTGTGTTCTACAAGTTAAAATAGGAAGCATTTATGCTTTTCCAATTGCTAACCTGAGGATAAGAGAGATATTAAGACCAGGAAGCTCTGGAGTAAGATTTAAACAGACATTATGTGTATCAAACTATCCATACTACATGTAAAATTTTTTCCAATAAACAAAATACAAGGTCAGGATCAGTGTGCAAGGCATTGTGAAAACCTCACCTTCACATCAGTAGAAAAATTTGTAAACATCTTAATCTCTCACTTCCAAATTAAAAATCCTATTTCTTTTTTTTTTTTTTTCTCACTAGCATCTTATCACTCAACAAAGGCATCCATAGGCAAAAGGTCTACATTAAATGTACATGTCCAAGCCATCTAAATCTCTCATCTCTTAATGTATCTTCAATATGTTCTACATTAAATATATCTACATTACATAGAAGTCATTTCTAATATGATCCTTCCATATGTTCCACAAATCACTACTGGAAATTCTGAAATTTCCGACCACCAGAAAATGATCTTAAATTAAGTTGATACCAAAAAGTTCAAAAAGTGGTCGGAAATAGCAACAAAGGTTTTTCCGGATACCAAAAGTGGTCGGAAAAAGACTTTCAACTTGATTTAAGATCACTTTCAGGTGGTCGGAAATTTCAGAATTTCCAGTAGTGAATTCATCTTACCTACACTAAGACCAAATAAAGCAAGCTAGGGAATAAAGAAAGGATAGAGTCTTTGTAAAACAGCATACTTTAGCATATCAACAAATAGATCAGAGAGCAAAGAATCAAATAAATTGGTGTAGTATGTAGTAGTAAACAAGAAATTCTTTAGAAAGTGGTGTGATTTGTGTTTGGCAAAATTTAAGAAACCACTAATTTATTATAGGTAGATGAAGGCAAATGGTAGGCCAGGCCATATATATTATCCAGTTTGTCTGTGAGAGACAACACTACATGAAGTGTTAGGCAGCTTAAAATATCCATTCTTGGGAGTGCATTCAGTACAGCAGATATATGTATTGTGACAATATAATTTGTTGGATCAACATTATTTACTAAAATAATAAACAATAAACCCTAAAATACAAATATATCAACATTATTTACTAAAATTCGAAATAATTAAAAAAAATCGAAATAATTAATAATAATAATCAATTCTAATATTATTAGAAATTAAAAAAAAAAAAAAAAAAAAAGGAAAGAAATACCGGCGCTGGCGAGAAGGCAGCGGTGTCGCGAAGGAGTCCGGCGCGGCTGTGTCGCGGAGTAGCAGTGGTGTCCGGTGTCCAGCGCGGCTGTCGCTGTGTGGCTGACCGGTGGAGCCTATGGTGCGGAGAGCGAAGGGGCGGTGTGGCGGTAGCTGTCCAGCGCGGTGCGGGGTGGTGGAGCGGTGTCGCGGTGTGATGTGGCGATGGCGGCATGTCACGACGGCGGCGTGTGGCGGTGAATATGGCGTGGGCGGGAGACAGTGCTGCAATTTGGATCAATTTTGGACTAGAATGAAAATTTGGGGGTGGGGGAAGGGTTTTAAAAACCCTACAACGTCGGCTATTAAGGATAGCCGACTTTGTAGGGGTAACGAATTTAAAATTAAAAAATTTAAAATTTTAAAAATCATATATGACGTCGGCTATTTTGAATAGCCGACGTGGTTGGGTAATTATTTTTAAATATTTTTTAATTGTAGTATATAACGTCGGCTATTAACTAATAGCCGACGTTATATATATATATATATATATATATATATAGACTTGCGTTCAAATGAGGACAAGTATATTATAGAGTACTGTGATGACAGATGTAGTGTGTGCCATTAGCCTGTATGTTGGGTGCATGACCGAAAGTAGTCGTGTGCCACAGTTTGTATGTCGCGTGCATACATTTGTTAATTAATAGAGCCTGGGTTCGAAACTTGATGCTTACATGTATTCTTGTGTGCCTGATAGTAATTTGTTGTGTGCCCATTATTTGTCCTCACAGTCCTCTATATATTGTTGTCCTCATTTGAACTCAACCCTATATATATATATATATATATATATATATATATATATATATATATATATATATATATATATATATATATATATATATATATATATATATATATTTAAAAAAAATAGAAAATACTTTTAACATCGGCTATATATTTAGCCGACGTTAAAGGCCCGACGTTGTATGTGAATTCTGTAGTAGTGATATAAATATATCACTCATTGTTGGTCTCGAAAGGGTGGCGAGAAGTCTAGAGGGGGGTGAATAAACTTCTCTAACTTTTCAAACTTATTTCCAAAACACACAAGACAAATAACACTTTGATAATTTCAACTCTAAATAACAAGCATAAGCATGTTAAACAACTTAGAGTGCACAGCGGAATATATAACAGTAAAGTGTTATGCTTGATTGTGTAGTGCTCAAAGAGAGATTCTATACATGCAACACTTTAGAAACACTTGATATGGTTCAAAGATGATGTACGTAAAGTTTGGCTTGCATGCGAACGTGGGAACTATCAAACCCAGACAGATAAAGATATGCGATAAATCGTAATCGGGTTAGTTCGCAGTTAGAATAAGCATGCACGAAATATGTGAGCAGTAAGTAAATAGAGAGAGAGATTTATAGTGGTTCGGAGATGGTGTAATTCTCCTACTCCACTCTTCTCCTTTCACTTCAAGGAGGAAATTCACTATTCTTCGATCACCCAGATACAATAGTGAATAAGTGTCCACCGACACTTCTCCGAGTGCTTCGCACAAAGCTACACTCCTCCAAGGTTTTTCGCAAGCTCCTCTTGTTACTCCGCCTTCCCGAGTACTTCGCACCAAGCTGTATTTCTACACCACGAGAACTACGCACAGGGACGGAGCAAGAAATTATGTTGAGGGGGGGCAAAGAAGTAGGGCTGGATTCAGTGGTGAATCCGGGAATTTTTTTCGGTGGGAGCAAAAAATTAAAAGAACAGAGAAATTTTGAAAAAAAAAAATGAAACACTTAAGTATAACAATAAATATTGTTGGATATAGCGAAAATAAAACATATTAAAATTTTATAAAAATATTTATAACAAAATATGAAACATAATTAATTTGATAAAACAATTCGAATATAAAACACATTATAAATTACACATCCCATTATTAATATAAAGAAAGTTATATATACATCACATTATTAATATAAAAAAAGTGATATATACATCTCATTATTATTATAAAAAAGAAAGACATCTCATTATTAATATATATGTATGGATGTCAAAATTTAATTGTGTTGAAGCAAAGATGTAGACGATTTTGACAATGCTATTGCAAGGACTCAAACCCAAGCCATTAAAATATTCAAACGCACCTCTTACCACCTTGTCTACTGAAGCTTTTGATTACATAATCTGTTCTGTAATACTTATACTAATAATGTACTGTATATACATATACATATATACATATATATATATATATATATATATATATATATATATATATATATATATATATATATATATATATAAAGGCTATATATAGGGTAGGGGTGGGGGTGGGGCGAGGGGGGGCAGCTGCCCCCCCTGCCCCCCCTTTGCCTCCGTCCCTGACTACGCACAAAGCTACGCTCTCACAGGGTTTTTACAAGCTCCTCTTGTTACTCTGCCCTTTACACTGAGTGCTACACACAAAGCTACACTCAACCAGGGTTTTTCACTCTCTCTAGTTACTCCGCCCTCTTTCTACACTCAGTAGAGAATATTACAAAGAGATAAAAATTTTCTCTCACTCAGACTTGAATTCTATCGTATATAGCGCAATATATTGCTTCTTGGCTGATTTGAATATTGCTTGCTTTTCTCTTGCTTGTATATCTTAATTGATCAGCCGTATTCAAATCGTTGCTATCTTCAAGTCTGCTTGGACAATTTATAGCCAAAGAAAGCTATTTGCCCGTTGATCAACTTTCGATCTCGATCGTCCATCTTCGTATGTAGTTGATCAAAATAAAGTTGTCAACTTGTTCTGAAATGTTTGACAGTAGTCTTTTCGCCTTTTGTCAGATGATTTGAATATTTTGCTCGTTGCTGTCTCTTGAAAATTGTAGCCTCCAAGATTTGAATAAGTTCGGCGCGGCAAGCTTGACATTTCTTGTCATTCATAAATGTTCTGACATATCAAGTTGATCAAATAATTTGTCTGCACGATTTACTTAGTCTCCCATACGGTGGTACCTAGTCTCCCATATGGTGCTCCTTACTCTCCCAAGTAAGGTAAAAATGCTTAACTTGAGATTCGAACTTAAAACCATTTGGCATAGCCAGTGTTGCAAAAATCGCGCCTAGGCGCCGATTAATCGGCGCCTAGGCGCTAGGCGGCATTGCGCCGCCGCGAAGAAGGCCGTAATCGGCCATCTCCGCGGCCGGCCGCCTAGCCGGCCGAACCCCGGTTTATTTATTTATTTATTTATTTTGGGTTAATCGCCAAAACGACGTCGTTTTGGCGATTAACCCCAAAAAAAAAAAAAACGCGATTCAAATCGCGATTCTGAAGACCAGAAACGGAGAAACCCTTGCAGCTATTCAGATTTCAGACCTCCGGCCTCCGCAGTCCGCACACCGCTCCCGCCTCACACCGCTCCCGCCTCCGCCTACCGCCGCACGCCGCCACACAGCGCCACACAGCCTCCCACAGTCCGCACTCCAGGTAAGCCTATTTTGGTATTCACTATTCACTGAAATTTGCTTGTATGTTTTGTATGTGCAATTTGAATGTGTTGAATAATTGAATAGGATGGCATCTTTTGTATGTGCAATTTGCTTGTGTGTTTATCTGTAAAAGCCTAAAAGGCTATAGTTGAATGTGTTGATTCCAAGCTTACTCTATGACTGGATTAGTAGATATCAATGCATAATTGCATATTATTATTTTAATTTTTAAATGAGTATTCTATATAGTTATATAGTTATATAGTTATATATTTAATTATTTATATAATTAATAATTTTCAATTGCTATATTGCTAATTTGCTATTCAATTGCTATATTGCTAATTTGCTATTGAATTGCTAATTTGCTATTCAATTGCTATATTGCTAATTTGCTATTGAATTGCTAATTTGCTATTCAATTTCTATATGCCTATATTGCTATTCAATTGCTAATTTGGTATTCAATTGCTATATTCCTATATTACTATATTAGTATATTGTTAATTTGTTATTCAATTGCTAATTTGCTAAGTATTAACTATTAAGTATTATACTATTATTAATTAGGAAATGGAATTGGGAAGTGAAGATATTTCTCAACCACCAAATCAAACTCAAAGTGTTGGATCTTCTCAACCATCTACAACATCAACTACAATAAAAAGAAAGTCCAATGATGTAGGTTGGGACTATGGGGTACTTAATGATCCTACTAAGTCATTGGACAAGATTAAATGTCTATTGTGCAAGAAAGTAATGTCTGGTGGGGTTTATCGGATCAAAGAGCATATTGTCGGTATTTCAGGGAATGTTAGCAAATGCCCCATAGCTTCAAAAGAAGATCAAATAAAATGTAGAGATGCTCTCATTATGGCGAAGAACAAAAAAAAGAACAAGAGAGCTGAAGAACTTAATATAAGAGCGGAGGTAAACATTGGTTCACATGAGAGTTTGAGTAATACGCCTACAAATAGTATTGATGTTGATGAGTTGCAAGAGTCTGAACAAATGAGGCCACCTCGTCCAATTGGCCCTATGGATAAGTTTGCTAACCAAATCAATCTTGAAATTTCTTTGAGTTCAAGAAGGGGCCCGGCGCAACAACGTATAACTGAGGCATTTGACAAGGAGAGGGTGAACCGAGTGAAAGAGTACATATGTAGATGGGCGTATGAAGCAGCTGTTCCATTTCATGTTCTTGAGAAAGATAGCTTCAAGTTGATGATTGAAGCTGCTGGTCAATTCGGTCCGGGAGCGCAGACACCAAATAGATATGAACTGAGTGAAACATATTTGAAAAAAGAGGTTGATCGCGTCAAGGACAGTTTGAAGGAACATGAGGCATTGTGGAAACAAAATGGCTGCTCAATTATGACTGACGCATGGACAGATAGGAAGAGAAGAAGCGTCATGAACTTGTGTGTAAATTCAAGATTAGACACTATTTTTCTATCTTCTAAAGAATGTTCAAGTGAGGCACACACAAGTCAGTTTATATTTGAATATGTGGAGCATGGGATTAAAGAAGTTGGAGAGAACAATGTTGTACAAATTGTCACAGATAATGCCGCAAACAACATGGGAGCGGCTAAATTGTTGAAGGAGAAGAGGCCACGACTATTTTGGACATGTTGTGCAACTCATTCCATTAATTTAATGCTTGAAAGCATTGCAGGTACCTTTCAATCTTTAAATCTTTATTCTTTAATCTTTATTCTTTAACTTTAAATCTTGTAATTGTTCATACTTCATACTTCATACTTGAATCCTTTGCAGGTTTACCCCGGTTCAAAAAAGTTCTTGATCAAGCAAAGAGCTTAACTATCTTTATCTATGCACACCACAAAACATTGGCAATGATGAGAACCTATACAAAGAAACGTGACATAATTAGGCCAGGTGTGACTAGGTTTGCTTCTGCATTTCTAACTTTGCAGAGTTTACTTGCTAAGAAAATTGAATTAGAGGCTATGTTTAGTAGCAATGAATGGGAGGAATGTAAGTTTGCCAACACAGTTAAAGGGAAAGCTTCCTATGCTACTGTCACGAATACTTCATTTTGGCAAGGGGTTACATTATGCTTGAATGTTTTTGCACCGTTGGTGAAGGTGCTTCGTATTGTTGATCAAGATAAAAAACCTTCAATGGGATTTGTTTATGGTGAGCTTATGCAAGCCAAAGAGGACCTTAAGAAGGCATTGAATGAAGTGGTAAGAAACTATGAGCCTATTATTAAGATAGTTGAAGAAAAGATGAGCAATAGGCTAGATTCTCCTCTTCATTTGATGGCTTTCATGTTGAATCCTTATTATCATTTTAAGGATCCTCGACTTCATTTGGATGTTAATGTTTCTCTTGGATGTATTGAGTTTCTTGAAACATATTACCATGACGATTTAGAAATGCAAAACAAGGTATTGAATGATGAATTTCCCATTTACAAGAGGAAAGATGGTGTATTTGGGAAGACACTTGCGGTCAAAGGATGTGAGACAAATAATGAGTGATATGATCCGGGTAAATGAGTTACATACTAGTTTTGAATTTTAAATTAAAATTTTATATATTTTGATTTTTTATACTTAATATTGTTTATACAATTTTGATGTAACAATGTGGTGGTCAACTTATGGTGGGACAACTCCAAACTTGCAAACAATTGCGATAAAAGTTCTATCTCTTACTTCAAGTTCATCGGGTTGTGAAAGGAATTGGAGTACATTTGAAGGGGTTAGTTAAATACTTAAATCTTTACTTAGTTATTTACTTCTTTTCTATTTTAGTATTCTATTTTTGATGGAATGATATATTTGACATTTGTTTTGCATATTTGTAGATACATACAAAGAAAAGAAATAGGTTGGAATCTAATCGCCTAAACAATCTAGTCTTTGTGCAATTCAATGCAAACTTGATGAACAAAATGAAAAAAGAGCAAAATGTTGAAATATTACTTAGTAGTGATGCAACCTTCGCACAAGATTGGATTGTTGAGGATGAAGTTGAGGTTGTTGGTGAAGATGAAGTGGCTACTAATGAGGAAGGTGATGATGCATTAAGACCACGACGGAGTTCTAGATTGAGGGAGCTTGAAGAAGATAACTTTGAATCCGAAAGTGAAGAAAAAGAAGTGGTGGTTGAGTTTGAAGATGATGAAAATCAAGTGATAGATGGGCAAGTGGAAGAACAACACCTTGAAAGTTGAATACTTGCATTTGAATATTTGATATGTTGTTAGTGTTTAATTGTCATGTACTTTGTGTCTTTCTTTGAAATTTGATGACTTGAACTCTTGAAGTATGAATGTATGAACTATGGTCTATGAACTATTTTAAATTTGATGACTTGAAGTATGAATGTATGAACTATGAACTTATGAAGTGTGTAGTATGAAACTATGAATGTATGATTGTATGATTTGTATCAAATTATTCAAATATCAATGATTCAATATTTCAATGTATGAATGTATGAGTTGTGGAATGTGGACTAATAGTCTAATGGAGTAATAGGAGTATAGGACTATAGGAAATTAGGAGTATAGGAATATGGAATATGGATTAAATGAATAAAAATAATTAACTTATTTAACTATACTACTATAGACTATAGTACATTAGTACATTAGTACTATACTACATTACTACATTAGTATATTACTAATTTACTATACATTATAATGTTATATAATTAATAATTTACACTTTTAAATAGTTTTAACTTTTAAGTTTTAACCATTTTAGATATATAGGTATTAAAATTTTACAATTTTTAATTTAAAAAAAAAAAATCAAAAAATCGGTGGCGCCTAGGCGCCTAGCGTGTTTTGCAACCTTGGGAATAGCTTACACGCGTATCATCCAACTCTTTTAGCATAGTTCTTAGTGACTTATCCACATCATAATTGTGTTAAGCCATAATCCCGCTTAACTTCTTCAAATAAATTATGATCTTCTAGACTTGTACATGGGTTGCATGATATGGGTGCACCATACTATGTAGACTTAAACTGACTCAAATAGAATAAAATTGGGGACTACTTGATTTTTCAAAAATACATTCGGCTCATCAAAATTTACAATTATTCCTAACACTCATGCATCTCAAATATGCAACACTTTTCTTATGCAAATATGCACATAACTTCTCAACTCAATCTCAATATGACAAATAATAACTCTCTACAATGGATATGAGTTTGTAGAAAAATAATACTTAGGCTCACATTGGCCACTTATGCACTTTTAAAACATGACATGCTCAAAATGGCATTTACTGTAAAGATATGCTTCTACTTTCTATTCACTGTAAAACTCAATCAAAACCAATAAATCATGCTTGAAACTCACAACTTAACAAATCTTCTCGAAAGCACTTAGCAAGTAGTTGACATGCTATTGGAACTCAAAATACTCTCAAATAAACATGTTCGACTTGGCAGTGAACTTCAACAATTTATAATAACCACTTTAGGCATGCTTTGCTAGCTAAAAAATCAACCATTTAGGCTCATACTTCTCTATTCAACAATCATACTATGACATGCTCAACAAATAAAATAAACAAAGTCTGATAGCTCATAAGCTCAAATACTGGGAGTAAAACCAAATACTTTTGCAACAAATCCTTGTACAAAAACAAGCATAAAAGGCTCAAATCTTCTCCAAACTTAACGAAATCAAAGTCAAAACGTGCGTCAAGATGACCCCGAGGTACCAAGCCATAAGGGCCAATGACACCCCGTCCGAAGCGACACGAAGCTGAGCCACAAGGGCCCGACTACTGCATTGGAAGCACTCAACGGAACTTGGGGCGGTGCTCAACTAGGCCCGCCCCTCAGACCGATCAAATGCCGGCTCTAGGCAACGGCCCCCTCCTAGGGCCGTTCCCTAGACCCGGCTGGCCACGACCCTAGCCAACGGTCCCCTCTGTGGGCCGTTGGCTGGATCCGCTATACCCACTGGTGCAACTGTATGTGCACCAGAAACCTTCTTTTCATTTGCAAAACATTCTCAGACAATTCTAACTCCTCCAAAACATCAATAGCACATCATAGACAAGTAATAGATCACTTAATAGCTCAAATACTTCAAAATCTAGCATTTCTACTCATTTCTACACATCAAAAGACTTCATAGAGTCTTGAAAATAACTTGGGAGTCCATGAGTTATACCTTTGTAGCTTTCTCTTCTTCTAGCTTGGTTTCCACCTCCTTCCTTAGCTAGCTACAACCTCCTTCACCTCCTAAACATCTCAAACAAACCATACAACCAATCTTAACTTATAAACTCATAGAAGGATGAAAGCAAAGATGAAATGGAAGGCTAGGATTGAATGTAGAAAAATGGTGAACTTATTGTGTGTTCTTGGTGTTCTTGCAGGGGGGAGCTCAAGGGTGGAAACAAGAGGCTAAGTCTGATAAATGCTCAATATATAGAAGTACAAAACCCTAGGTTGATCACTCATAATTGGTGGAGGGCAAAAGGGGAAAAGCTTTGGCTAGAAAGTTGCATCAGACAAAGTGTTGGTGGCTTGTGGTCCACCATGCTTCATGAACCAAGGGCTTGAATTGCTATTTAATATAGTTTGGGGTTGAAAAAGGGAATTTTCCCAAATGATTTATTGATGAACACATGTTTTAAGCTTCTCAGATTCCTCCTGATTTCTCTTAGATAAATTTCTCAGTTCAAAACTTGGCACGCAATGTACCCGAAAATTTAGGATATTGGAATTTAAATCCATTCTTGGCGTCGAATCAAATTTAAAATGGCTCAAATAATTTATTCAACATCGTTTTCTTCGTAAAAATTTTTATGGAGCGAAAATTGGCTATTTTGGATTTTCTTAAAACCGGATTTATAAAATAAATTTTGGGTTGTTGATAAGCTTAATTTCTAGGCATTATTTAGAGTAATTTTAGTTAGTGATTTGATTAAATAAATTAAGTTTTAGGGTTAATTATATTATAAATATTATATTTAGTATATGTTACTAGTTTAGACTAGTTTATACGGGTTTTAATAAATATTAGGCTAAAGTTACATTTTTATTAATATATAAAGAAGAGTGTTATTTTATCTATATTATTAAATTTATTTGGTAGTTTTATTCATTCTATTTTTAACAAGTGTTTTAATATTTAAGCTTAATTGAGTTATTATGTCATTAGGATATAATTATTTTAGTTGAATTTGACTTTGTTTTGTTTTCTTTTCAGGGTTTTGCGCAACGGATAAGAAAGAAAAGAAAGGGATTAAGGCTTGGATATATATTTTGGGCGAAAGACGGAACAAGAGGACAGAACGGAAAAAAGGAGAGAAAATAGAAAGCTTGGGAGCGGCAGCAGCGGTTCGACGAGGAGATTTCAACGAGGAATTTTTGAGCTTCAATCACAGCTATCATCTCTTAGGTTCGTTATTATTTTTTTTTAGTTTTTGTTTTTTCTATTTTTATTTTATTCTATTTATGAACTTAAGGCGATCACTGAGGCATAAAAACGTTGAATTTCTCCTATTGATCTTGAAATTGAGCGTACTTGCAGAAAAAACAGGGTACGAAGGCGGCTTGAAATGGCTGAGAACAATAGAGTGGGTCAACTGGATGACCCCGTACCACCAATAGTTCCACCTCCTCAAAATCAAGCAGCTCAACCACGTCTTCAAGACATCCAAAGACCGGTAATAGCTGTCAATCCTTCTTGTATTCAATTATCTGATGCAGCTAGAAATTATGAACTCAAGACTTTCCATCTGAATATGCTCCCGACCTTTAACGGTTTGGGAAGTGAAGATGCTTTGGGTTTCATGCGAGAGCTCTATAGTACGGTACAAACTTTACCTTTGAATAATTTATCTGAAGAAGAGCTTAGAATGAAATGTTTTCCATATTGCATGAGGGGTGATGCTAGGCAGTGGTTGTTAAATTTACCAGAGGGTTCTTTAAGAACTTGGTATGATGTTTACAATGCTTTCATGTTTAAATATTATTCATCTCAAAAGACAATGGACTATAGGAGTAGAATATGCACTTTTACTCAAAGAGAGGGTGAATTGTTTCATGAGGCATGGGATCGTTTTAAATTGCTTTTGACACAATGTCCACACCATCAATTTCCATTGTTATTGTTGACACAATTCTTTTATGATGGTTTAACTCCTAATTGTCAGTCTCTTGTAGATACTGCTGCAGGTGGATACACAGGTGATAAAAATAGTGATGAATTAGAAGCTATTTATGAGAGCTTAGCTACTAATTCTTGACAAAAGGCAGTGAGAGGTCGAAGAGCTGCTGTGCATGAAATTAGCACACAATCTGAGTTGACAACACAAGTGGCTGAATTGACTAAACAGATGAACTTGTTGATGACTCGTGATAGTTCGAATAGAGAATTTTGTTCTTATTGCAATACATATGGTCATAATTCTTCTGTTTGTATGAATGAAGAGTCATCACAACCATCTTATGAGGAAGCTAATTACATGGGATCCAACATGGGTAGGCAACGTC